TGAGTTGCAGACATTCATGGGCGGCGATGGTCACTTTTCATCAGGTGACCCGTCTGCTCGTCTGCCCCCTCTAACATAAAAGAAAATGCCATGTGACACCTTGGACACAAGGACAATCTAAGTATATTACCTTGAACTGTACTTACGCGGATAACACTGTTTATAGACGCTTAAAATATTTAATGAATAGACATATAATATAATATAATAATGAGTAGAAAAATGAATCATTACTATCGATACTAACCTATTTTTTCGACAAACCTAGAAATAACTACTTATAACAAAATTGAATATGTAGTATTTTTTTGGATATAAGAGCCTGAGGGTATGTTTTGAATGTACCTTAACTCATTGAAAAGTCGTTAAATAGAAATCATAAGTTACAGCTAGTGAAATTGAAGTATTGATAGGTTTAGGTATGGATCCCCGGCTACTGGTACCTGGAGACGGCATACGGTTTTTGGTCGGTTCGAGTCCTAAATAATCACCGTATCATGGTATCCGAGGGGTGTTCCGCACAAGTAAAAAAGGTAGGTATAGTGCGTAGTTTAAAAAGGTACAGGTGCTTAATTTAATGCTAGGATGACGTGATCATTGTCACCCAAGTTACAGTGTAGGTTTTAGACTTTAATTAATTTAACTTTTTCTTAGAAATCATCTTAGAGGTGCTGATATGAAAAGACAAGAAAAATAGCTTGGAGAGTGTAGTATCTAAGGATGAAATCGGTATCAATGCGACTCACCTTTTTCGGCTTTTCGCTTAATAAATGACAGCATCAAATTTTAATATCTTAAACAATTATATTATATAGAAGTCTAAGCAAACTAATCGTAAAACCATCTCTTCCTGGTCCTGCGGAGCCGTCTTTTACTATTGTCGCAGTCCAATGATCTTGTTGCTCATATGGTCAAGCTCATTTAACATGCTCTGTACTTGTATTTTATTATGATTCTGCTTAATTTTCTTACTGCAATATATTTCATTGTGTTACAATCTTCTTTCTATCTGTTTTATCTGATTGTCTGACATTGCGCTATTATATATTATTCACAATCAAGATAGTCTCAGTTTTTATTACCTAATACAATTAAACTTAAAATTAAGTGTTAGATCACTAATTTTTAGCTTACTCGTATATAATTAGGTATTGTTATTTTTAGAATCAACACATATTTTAATTGATAATTATTTTGTCTGACGTCAAACTTGGCAGAGCCTTTAGCAGCCTTTTTCAAATTGTTGATTAACATGGTTTATGGTATTTCAACAAATGTTTATGCACCTACATATCATAGATAAATTACATCACGACAGATTATTTGTTCTTGATTGGAGGGGTTAATGAATTCTAGAAATGTTTAACCCACATTAGTGGGTTAAAAATGTGTAATCTTGAGAGAACCAATAAAGTTAATATACTACCAATTTTCCCATGTTTAATTCAGAAAGTGTTGTGGCATAATTATATATAATTTGGTTCAAATTATAGCTGGATAAAAGTGGTTGTTTAACAGTTCACTGATTACCCCATCGGAGATATAAGCAAGAATGTATGTAAATAAAAAAAACCTTCACAACATATTCTGCAGTGGCATCAACCATTCCACAAAATAACATGAACGGACGTGTTGTAACCTTGGCATAAAGTGGCATTTCAAAATACCTACCAGCTATTTGTCTAGAATTGCGTTATCATCGTTGTTCTAAGGTGGATATGCGTGACCTTCATCTATGTATAAGAGCGCAGGAAATTCAGTGTTTTCTGATATTGATAAGATGTTGACGTCATCGGTTCTATTACTATTTCTAAGCATGGAATAAATTTAGTGATATATTATCAACAACAATGTTTGTCCAGTTAAGCAATTTCTCTTTATAATTTTACAACCAATAGAGGTTGATGGTCGTTAGGATCTAAATTTAAACATTACAATCGTAGCTAAAATTACATACAACATCCAGTATGTTATTCCAAATATTGCAATTGAAGAAGCAATGCGAAACATACTAAAATGTCACATATTATGGTGTACCCAAGACGCATTACTTGAATATACGCTTGATAAGATAAAAATCATACCTCTCCGAGTTAGAGATCCTATATTGATCATTTCTAAGACCATTAGGAAGCAATATTCTACATGCGGATAAAATATAAAAAGTGGCATATAAAATGCTTTTGTATTTGTCAAATATTTTAGTGTCAATCAAAATACAACAATAAATAAAAAAACAAGGTATCTTTAAGTAAAACATTTTTATTGTTATAGTCCCTCTAATCTAAGAGGTACCGTTTGACAGTTCTGACAGATTGAAGAATAAGGAGGGGGTTAAGGAAATTGATTATGACAATTTCCGATTCTTAAGAGATATTGATATCATTATTAGTATTTACAAATCGATTACAGTTTTACAGATTTATGTACATAATTATGTTATTGTAAAAGCCCGCATATTATTACATCTTAGGTCTTACTAGTAAATCTATAAAAGTACTCAAGGCAAATGAAGATCGGTATAAACAAGAGAATATCAAATAAAAACAATTGACTACACTTGGTCTAGCTTTTGTTTTATGTTAGAGTGGGCAGAGTAGCAGACGGGTCACCTGACGGCATCACCTGATGGAAAGTGACCATCGCCGACCATGAACGTCTGCAACTCAGGAGTCACAAACGCGTTGCCGTCCTTTTAGGAAGAAGTACGCTCTTTTCATGAAGGTTTGAAGGTCGTTTCGGTCCGGAAATACCGCAGACGATAACCCGTTCCACAGATTGGTTGTGCGGGGCAAAAAGTGTCTCGAAAAGCGCACAGCGCCAACTATCCATGTAATGAGGATGAAAATTTTGCCGTGTGGAACGATGGCAGGAACATGGGTGTCAACAATGAGAATGACTCGTGAAATAGGCCGAAAATATACCTTGACCTAATTTAATGGTAGTCAACGCATCCATAAAACAAAAAATAGTTGCAAGCAATTTTCGACATTACTTTTCTCAAAAATCGTGTTTTCTGCAATCTATAAATGACGCTGATCACGAATATAAAAAAGAAATTATATTAAGAGAATGATATTAAGGAGGTTAATTAAAAATTGCTTGCCGCTACTTTTTTTAAATATTACACATAATGCAGCAATTTTCGAGTTTATGAATTTGCACAATATCCAATTTTCACGTTTAGAGAAATATCTTTAAGGACGATAATTGCTTGCAACTATTTTTTGTTATCTGTATGTGTTGACATATTAAGGAAAACTACGTGAAGACAATTTCATCACGACTGTACATTTTGTAAAGCGAAGAAGGGCACAAAACTTATTATATTAATATAAATTAATAAACTCATTATAATGTTATTGTTATTTGGAGAGTTTGCCACATTAGTAAGGTCAAAGAAAGTAATTCGTTATTAATTATGATTTTAAAAAAAGTGTGATATGTATGTTACTTGTTTGCCCCTTTAGAAGTAAGACTTGTATGGCGCGTATTATACAAACTGAAATCATCTGGATTAAAAATAGCAGATTACATACATTTATATTTTTTTTAGATACATTTAAACGAGTATTCGTATACAAATAAAGTGAATTTGAAGAGTCGCAACACTACGGTAAAGGCTAATCCAACTACGTGCCTATGAAACGAAGTTTAAAAACTATCTATTGCATATATTGGTTATTTTAGTTTGTTTAAAAGATTTAAATCTAGACAATAAGAATTGTACATCTTGAGACAAAATGAAAATAGCTTCATAATTCCATAATTTTACGGAAAAGTTTATTTTTGTGTAAGTTTCGCCAATACAATGTTGTATCATCTTGAAAAGTATGAAACGTCAAACGGTACCTCTTAGATTAGATGAACTATAATATTATAAATCTATTACCTTCTTCTACTACCTTGAAAACTATGGAGGTTACATAACATTCTAAAATATAGATATAATATTATTACTACTACTAGCTAATACTAGCTAAGGGTTAACTTGTTCAAGCAATAAGTTATTGAAAGACAATTAAAACTGTTTCTAGTTAACATAAACAATTAATAAATAAATAATAAAGTCACATATCTCACGCACAGAGGCAGAGCCTGTGCTATGGTAACCAGACTGATGATAAACGTACATAAATATTTCTAAATCCATACATATTATAGATAAATTATACCCAGACACAGAATTAATGATCGTGTTCATCACACAATTATTTGTCCTGGGTGGGAATCGAACCTACTACCAGTCTTATTTATCTATCATTGTAAGTGTTTAAAAATATTTAAGTATGTTTATCTGCAGTCCGGTTGGCATAGTACAGGCTCTGCCTAGTTTGGGATTAGACGGCCGTGTGTGAGATGAGGTTATTATTATTAGTATTAATAGGTCTTTACCTATGAAATTGCCGTTTTGTATGCAATGTACTTAAAGTGAAAGTACTTATTTTTTCAAACTTTTTTATTTCTGTTATTCGAAGTAATCACCCATGCAATCGACGCATCTTTGCCAACGCATTGGCAGTTTATTGATGCCCTTCTTGTAAAAATCAGCTGGACGGGAGGCAACAAACTCTTCAAAGGCATTTTGTACTGCCTCTCGGGAATTGAATTTTTTACCCACTAAAAAGTTGTCTAAATTTTGGAAAAAGTAATAGTCGGTAGGTGCAAGGTCTACAGCACACTTTTGTACCTATGCCCATTTCAGTCCCACATTAATATCGCCGAGTACGATAATCATCAAGGACATATTTTTTGTTCACGCTACGTATGCACTAATAAAGCCCCCTTGCAGCTGCACCCCGAATTTATCTCTGGATGCCTTATTGTATGACTATCACATTCATATTATCTCTTATTTATAGTCTATCATTTGCTCAGAATCCATAATCTATTCCTTTACTACCGAGTTCACGGTCGGTAAAACCCTGACCAGACCAGTAAACGATATGTGTGTAAGATACATATAACTTTAGATTTTCGTATATTCTTTTATTACTTACTGAGCAGGGGGAAGCGGCTGGTGGTATGCTTGCCAAGGGGAGTGCTACTAGCACTGATGTCACTCTGGGAGCTGTGGAGGCTACTCTTGCCACTGCCGGCGGCGGAACCAAGTTCCATACGCATGCGCATATGTCGACTGAAAGAAACATTTAGAAGTTAATTGAGATGTTGTTTCCAGATTAATACCTAAACTTAATTGACAAAAACATGTAAATTGTGATTAAAAGTTTTCTAAATATGTATTTAATAATAGAGAATGTATTTAACAAATATAACATACTAGCTGACCCGCGCAACTTCGTCTGCGTCTTTCAATAGTAATAAATTTTCTCCGTTTTTGAAACATTCTTTATTGGTGCTCCGCTCCTATTGGTCTTTGAGTGATGATATATAGCCTATAGCCTTCCTCGATAAATGGGCTATATAACACTGAAAGAATTTTTCAAATCGGACCAGTAGTTCCTGAGATTAGCGCGTTCAAACAAACAAACAAACAAACTCTTCAGCTTTATAATATTAGTATAGATAATTTGGGTAAAGATTAAAAAAAAATTGTCTCAGAGTAAGATGATACCCAGGATTCGACCATTTAATTTTTAATCTAATTATGCTAGCCTTCCCCGAATCTCCTACGATGAGAGACGTCATCTGTGGAGACGTCAGAAATAATTAATTAAAAAAAAACTCATAACAGTTATTTGTACTTTACACAAACAAATGAAATAGATATTATTAGGTGCACATTTATCCATCGCGGCGGTAAGACCCGTTATAGAAGATTGGCTCGAGAGGCGTCACGGGACCATCTCATACCGACTGGCGCAGGTGATCACTGGGAAAGGATGTTTCGGGGATCACCTGTGTCTGATCCGCAAATGCCACCACTGCGATGGCCTGACCGTGGACACGGCTCTCCACACGCTGGCAGAGTGACTTTTCTTTAAATTACCTGTCATGTCATTTTATTTTACTGTTTTCTGTCTGTTATTCAATACTAATAATTACTTTTGCATTAATACATAGGTATTTTTATTAGCTAATTGCAATACTTGACTGTTAAATGTATTTATGACACTAAGTCTAAGATATTAGCCACCATGTATATGTTAGACATAGTTTATATGTGTGTTTATTTTTCCAAACGGTAGTTAGTTCTCATCAATTTATGAAATAATAAAAATTATTGATGTGGCCCTGAACACAGTTGATTTTTACGTTCAATTCGGTCGTTAATTTTAATTCATACGTGTACGTACACTTCAACGATATTTCGACACAGATGCGAGCAAACTTCGAATCTCATAAAAATTGTTGGTAAATTTAAAAGTAAAAAACGACGTGGAACTAGATCTACGTGTATAAAGGAGTTACTTATTGTAATTAACATAATATCTTCGTATATTACAAAAAATATAATTAAAATAAACTAGACATTTTAGATCAATTCAGGTGCTTAGATAATAGAAGGCCTTGATCCATAAGAGTTTCTTAACACTACAATTATTTAAAACGATAGGTTTTACGCAGAACACTTAGGACTAAAACATTAACTGACTAACATTGACTGCACGGATGGCGTAGTGGTTTAGGCGGTCGCCACGCCGCTTACTACTGCGCCGAGTGCTGTGGGTTCAAACCCCACATGGAACGACACTTTGTGTGATCCACAAATTGTTGTTCTGAGTCTGGGTGTTCTTTGTGTCCGTTTCATATATGTTTGTAAAGTCCCCCGCGACACAGGAATGTATTCCTACTGCGGGAGTTGTCTTTTAAAAAAAAAAAACTGAACTTGAAAAATTATACTTGCCTTTTAGGTTTAACATTTGTATTCGTAGACTTTGAACTTAACATTCTGCTGACGCTGCATGAAGTTTGAGATCGTTGTAAGGAAAAAGAGCAGTCAACTTTTGATTTTATATCCTTAAATGACTTTTTGTAGTCATTTTTTGGGTCCAACGAGTTCTTTTTTGCAAGATTTTCCCTCCGGTCGGTCTTTTTTACTATTTTTGGACTACTTTGTACACTGTTGTCAGCATCTGTTTTTCTGTTGGCCAACATGCTCTTCAACTTACTCGGCACATCACGTTTAGGCATTTTGTATTTTTTCAAAGTGAAGCTTCTCTTTTCTTCTTTATTTTTGTCCCCACACTTTATATCTTTAACACTATTCAAGGAATTTCTCTTACTAGTATTTTTTGGTGTTTCATCATCATCAACAACGGGAGATATTTCTAACTTCTGTTCTTCGGAAGGATCTTGGAGTGGAGAGAAAAAGGCATTAAGATTGCCAGTACTAGCATTTTTTTGACTACATTCAGAACGAGTAGAAGGTGTTGAACCATCTGGAGACATATCATCAATCACGTTGAGGAACACGGGAGACGTTCTGTGATTTTCAAAGTCCGTATACACCCCACTTGATTCCATGCAAGAGTCTTCGTTTCTATTCACAATGAGAGGAGGATTGCCATTTACTTTCTTTCCACCATATAGAGCTCCATCAATAACTTGTGCTCTTCGATCACCTCTTTGCATATGATCATCTAAACCATCTGCATCACTTTCTGTGAAAAAGTCTGAATCTGTCATAGGATCTGCTCTTCTAGCTACAGGAACATTCTGCCAGTCCATTTCTATCGCATCTTCACGATGTTCAATGGAATGATCTGCCCCTCTACTCACTGGTCTTGACATTTCACCATCACCTTGATAACCGTCAAGACTAGTAATACTCGTGATACTTGTAATAAAACTATTTGATACTTTTGAAGTTTCCATTGATTTAGGATAGTCATTTTTACCATCTGAATAAGTTTGCGAATCGTGCAAAGTAGACGCGGAAAATTGAGAATATGTACTTATTTCTCCATTTATTTCTGAGCTGTCTAACGGGAGATCTTCTGGTGAAGGTGTCTGTTCTATCCTACTTGTGATCAGTAAGTTCTCATGCTTACTATCCAATGCTATTTCTAAATTGATGACATTTTCTGCAACCGAGCTAACAGGTTCTAAAATACTGCTGTGAATAGAAGGCATAAACTCTTCGTCTATTAAATTTGATGTTAGCTCGTTATTGGCCATTGTGTTTTCATGCAAAGACATTGAATCTAGAGTTCTTGTAGTTGTCGATAATGGATCTTCAGAATACAATGTTTCGTTGCATTTGTTTCCGGATGAATACGTAAGAAGTGAATCGTGTTCTTCATTTGTTAATATTGTTTCCAAGCTCACAATTGGTGCTAACTGCCCTCCAAAGTTGCACCTTTTATTATCTATGCGTATACTATCAAATCCATCGTTCTGTATAGTCGATGCTGCAGAATTACTTTCAGTCTTATCGGTTGACGGGGTATCACCATTATCTGGAGATATTTTACTTTCGTTAGTATCACAAAAAATTGGTAGACCCTCTACCGTAGGAGAAAATGCATTTTCTAAATAGCATATATCGTCCATTTGATCAGGTGTCAAAATACCTAAACTATCATCCAATGAATTCTCTTCATTAGTCCTGCTCAGTGAGTTATCATTGGGACTTAAATTTGAATCAAACAACCGTGAGTGCACGTGATGCGACTTTAATTGTAGACATAAATCAGATCTGGAATGTGTATTGAATACCTTTTTTGTAGGGAAATTCATTTCGTTTTCACAAGAGTATTCATATTCTCGCATAGGCTTATCTTCGAAATTTAATAAATTCGGTAATCGATCTGCGCTCTTATTGCTTGACATAAGATTTTTCTTAAATTTCAATGAATTGGCATCGCTGATAATCTCAGATTTTGGTCTATTCCATACCTTTACTTCTGTACTATCATTGTAGGACGTAGATGCATCGGATTGTAAATCAAACAATAAGCTATACGGTCCAGATTCATCCTCATCTTTCTTGTCTACTAGTTGTTGTGTTATATCATTAAGTAATCCCTTCGTCCTTTTATCAACATTGCAATCTTGCTTTTTTTTAGTTATTTGATTTAATTTCTCGCGCAAATCTAATATTCGTGGGTTTTGCTCAATTACTTTTTCTAAGTTTAAACTCATTTTAGGTATGAATGATGCGTAAGTTTTGGAAAAAACTCCTTCTTTAACGTCTTTTTTAATTTTTATGTCGGCGTTATGAACTTTGTTATTGAGATCTGTAGTTCTTGTTAGATCGAAGGAGCCGATGGCATCCACATTTTTTACTTTTGAAGCGGTGTAAATCCCTCGCAGTTCTAAAGTTCTTAACTTGGCATTCTTATCGACAGGGATCTGAAAAAGAAAGAAAATCAGTTAGTTGTATAATCAAACGATTGTTTTTTTTTAGTATCACGTTTAAAAATGCTAACATGTATTTGAAGTGTAATAGAAAATACAGTAATTCTAAAAATAGTGACCGGAATGCGGATTAAAACGTTACTTTTAATAAGGTATCTTTAATGCGATTAAGACTTCGTACAGCGTCGAACGTTTCATAAATAATAATATAATAATAATATATTCTACCACATACACACAACGCCATCTAGTCCCAAACTAATACTAATTAGTTTGCGTTTGACTACAGCTTTAGAACTGAGCCTGCATTCGCTTGCTGTATTGTCTGCTCATCACGGTTCAGAGGACTGTCACGCATGGTGCTTTCCATGCTCAGTACACGTACTGTCGCTGCAGACACGTGCATAAACATTGCGTTGCAACGAATTGTTTCCTTCGCTACATTAAGGTCACTTTATACACTACGCTTCTCTATTTCACAAGTCAACGCACATTAACTACTCCAAAAACGCCGGTTGAGTAAAGTATTGTAAGTATGTATATTAGGAAGAAGAAAGAAGTCGTTGAATACACAATATGATTTATCATTAAACAATCCAAGTGCAAAAACGTCTGATTCTACTAGATGTTATTGGAGCGCAAAGTCACGAATGAGCACAATAGTACCAAGAATCTTTGACACCGGTCTACATTACCTACTATGAGTATACAGACAGACGCGGAACTAACGCATCTTTTGCTATGGATTCTATATTAAATGGGGCTTTCTAATGAACATAATATATTTCATTTCATATATTTCAACATATATTTTCATAAATATATTCTATGTTTAATACAATGAAGGTGACAATAAGGCCAGAGGCCATCACGATAGTAAGTGATTACCGACGTGTGCAACGGTGTTACCTGTTAATGTTATTACTACTACATTTCCATCTCTATCAATATCTGTGTCTATGAAGTACAGCCGATCAAGTAGATATATTTTTTACTCTATAACACGAGTGTTTATTACTTCAATGTTTTGGGCCGTAGTTACGTTCAACAGTGCATTGCGTCGCATTGTAGTGGAACAATTTGTTCCGCACATATTTATTGGTGTTTGGTGACAGGAATAAATAATAAATTCATAAACGACACTTTAATGTCTTACAAAAAATTGTAACATTTTAATAAATCTTACAACGAGTGAAGTGCACTGATGCTAAATATTGCGTAACAAAGGCATTAATCCAAGGCATTTGGCAACATGCGTTGTTATTATGATCCACTAATTATTTTTACCGGTTAGTTTCACTTCACTACACTTTCTGCTAACATTGAATAACATACTTTACGAACTTAAAGTGACGTATTGATTCAAAGTATCCCATAGAAAGTGTTCTGTGAAATGTAAACTACCATATTTAAATTGTACCAATCTTATATGGAGAATTATATATCAAAAATTACGTTAATCTTTGATATGAATATCTTGATAATGACATAGTTAGAATTCATTCATTACGACAGCGACTAAAACAGATAACTGAAGCTGGTTCTGATCATTTCAAAATTCTGTATAAATTAACTAACCTTCATACTTGATAGTGACATGTGACATAGCAGCACAAATGATATATTACGAAAGATGTATCTTCTTGTTTTATCTTCATTAAAAACGAATTTATTCAAAACATTTTCCACAATTTAGTCCGCCAAGCCGTGGGCACAGTTATAATATTTCAAGTTGTTATTGTTAACGTGTTCATTAGTATCGCGTTTTATACTGAAAATTCATAAACATAAATTCCAGACCATCTTTAATAGGTTTATTTTGCTATGTGCTTTATCTTTTAACCGTTTCACTTAATCAACATTAACGCCTTAAAGATTAGGTAAATACAAATACTGCTATGTTTGTATATTCACTACATATTGTACAAACAATATATTCGCGATCCTAAGCAATTGATTACATGCCTTATAAATAAAATATAAGTAATTGTGTATATGTCATCTATGTATTGTATGCAACAATGCCAATATTCTCGATGTTATTTCCTTATTTATATTTTGCTGGAAATACTTTCAAAGGGAATATTATTAGCAGTTTTTCAACGAGGGCAACGGTTAAGTAATAAACTAATAACCAGTATATGATTAAGAACACGAAATGTCACCACCTCTATTCATCCCGCGGGTGTCTAAGAGCCGACTAAGGGAGCAAACTAAGCCGGACAACAGCACTGCAACAAGAAGGAAAACTTGACACAAACCCTTTTTTTTTTTTTTTTTTTCTTTTTTTTTTTTTAACGTGTGGAAATCCCCTCGGACCGTCACCCCTCCGGGGTTTGCGGCGGGGTGGTGTGTCGGACTCGGACCGACTAAAACCACACGGTGTGCCACTCTGCGCCTGTAACAGGAGGGATCCGGGAACAGCTGTTGTTAAGACATCCGGACCCCTCCTAGCGCCAGCCCGCTCCTGGTGCGGGCTCCGTCTCAATATTTTTCCTCTCTTTAGGCGACGTCCGGCACACGCGGACGCCGCCCCCTCGCGGCTGGCCAAACTAATGCGGGTGGAGGGGAAACCCACCCCGTCCACCCGCGACCACACTCAGGGCGGCATGAGGCTGTGATAGGCGGGCCTCCGCCGCCCGGTTCCGCCGCACAAGAGGGGTCCAAGAACAGACCCCTGTGGAACAGCGCACGACATGGGCCGACACCTCAAATTACCTTCTTGGTCCTCGTACACGACGGTACGCTCCTCTAAATAGTCTGCCACTAGCCGCCTCAGGTACTTTGGCACCCCATGATAGTGGAGTGCTTCCCTGATGCAGCTGAATGGCAGACTATTGAATGCGTTGGCGATGTCTAATGACACCGCCAACAGCACGCCGCCACAGCTCACGGCCTCTTCGGTCACGGCCCTCAGGCGCAACACGGCGTCGACTGTCGAACGCCCCGCCCGAAAACCAAATTGGGCGTCCGACAGATCGGGGCCCACCTCGGAGAGGTGCCGGACGATGCGGGCAGAAGAGAACCCTCTCAAACAATTTACCCGCCTCGTCCAGCAGCACGATGGGCCTATAGGCCTATAGGCCAAAACTTTCTGTCTAGGGCAAGGCCTATGTCCAGCAGTGGACTATTAAAGGCTGTTGATGATGATGACAACATTGTGTTTATGTATACTCGTATACTAAGTATTTTCTTGGTACAGACCCAACCACGTCCCAACAGAAAGCTGTATGACCTCTTATTGAAAATCTAAATTACTTTCTTTAAAATAATTAATAAAGTTTTTTAGTTAGCAGACTTTCTTTTCAAATATTAGAATATCTAGGTGTCACAATATTTAATTCTACTCGCAATCTTGCCTGATGTTTATAAAAAGAGGGAAGGAAAGGAAGGATTTATCACATTGCAAAAACGAATTATTATATTTCGGTTAAAACATGTTGTAAACAACGCGATATATTAAGATATTTCCTATCAAATAGTAGCATTTCAGATTTAGGTTTCACGATATTATCGTAGGTATTGCTTACCCATCATAAAGCGTGTTAAGATGGTGCAATTTTCTTACAAGATTTCACATTAGATATAACCACCGCGTGACAACCAGTCTTCCTTAGAAGCGTTCGGATACCAACCCGAACGATTTAATTCTTTAGTTTGCACTGTAATTTTATTACATTTTTTAGAGAAAACACGGCATCATAAAAATAAAACTTTAAGCATAAACCGTAAAGGCTTTTGGAGTCACAAACCGACTCCAAAACAACTACGAGTTTGTAATTGAACTTCCAAGTAAATAATACGGCACTTTGACGTGATCCGGTACTTGTGTACATTTATTTATATCATACATAATGCAAAGATCAACTCGGTATTCGAGGATATTTATTTTTCGAACCTACTTCTGAGGCCGCCTTGATGAATGAATGAATGTAATAGTATATTAATAATAATAATAAGCCTCCTATCCTGAACTGCTTTCTTCTTTCTTTGTATTGTGGTTGTCTCTTTAGTTATAAAATATCTCGGAGTTCAGTGTACCTCTTGGCAAAGGCCTCCTCTAACAATTTCCATTGTACTCTGTCTCTAGCAACCCTTCTCCATTTTGGGCCTGCCGTCAGTTTTAGTTCATCTTCCCATCTCTTGCTTTGTCCTCCTCTGTTACTTCTCCCATCTCTAGGGTACCAGTCTGTTATGATGTTGCTCCACTTCTCTTGTGTACCGCGCAGCATGTGCCCAGTCCATCTCCACTTCAAACTATCTATTCTAGTAAGTACGTCTGTGACTTTTGCCTTGCTTCTTATGACGGAGTTTCGTATCTTATTTTGTTTCTTAATACCTATCATACTTCGTTCCATAGCTCTTTGGCAGTGTTCCAGCATGTTTCTGTGATGTTTCGTAAGAGCCCAGGTTTCAAACCCATATGTAATACATGGGAGAACGCAGGTATTGTAGACCTTCCTTTTGATACCTATACTGAGATCTGTGGATTTCATGATCTTTTTCAGTGACCAGTATCTTTTCCATCCGTTAGCTATTCGTCTTTTGATTTCTTTTGTAGTTGTGTCTGTATGTGAGATGATTTGTCCTAAATAGATATATTCATCTACATATTCAACAGGTTGGTTGTTAATTTTTATTTCATATTTGGTTGAATTCGTTAATAGCTTCGTTTTGTTTATATTCATAAGTAAGCCCACTTTCTCACTCTCCTTATTTAGATCTTGTATCATTTCTTCTAGGATCCCTGGCTGTTCTTCGAACTAAACAATATCGTCAGCGAATCTAAGATGGTTTAATTTTTGACCATCTATATTTAGTCCATGTTGGTCCCAGATTATCTTTCGAAATATGTTTTCCAGCACCGCCGAGAACAGTTTTGGGGACATCGGGTCGCCCTGTCTGACGCCTCTTTTTACTTGGAATGTCTCACCAAAGGTTTCCAGTTGTACTCTTGCCTTACTGTTGGAGTAAATGTTTTTAATGGTGTTTAT